GAAAAACTGCCTGTTAAGAGGCAGAAACCTCAGACAGATCCTTCGGCTCTAGGTGTGAGGTCATCTGCCTCAACCAGTTGGGGGGAAAGAGAGAGAGAGAGACAAACAGACAAACAGACAGACAGACAGACGTGCACAGCAACAACTACACTAATAGTAGTGACACCACTAAACTTCCAACTCGTAATTAAATCTTGAGATTAAAATCTACAAGCTGTAAAGTTTGAGTTAGAATATGAGTATGAGTCTGTAAAGTAGATTAATCTCCGTGTTAATGTCACGACAACCTCTGTAGCATCATTAAGCCGGTTGTTAGAAACCCCCTTTTTGTAAGACACGTAAAAGCTTCAGAAGTCCCAGGTTTGGGTTAACTGACGTATTTTATGTCGAAGAACAAGGCGTGAAAATCTCAGAAAATCTTGTGTTAACCACAGACCTTACTTCAGGCATCTGACCAAAAACCCATTGACTTCGAGGAGAGGGAACCGGAGGTCAGTCCGGGTTTTAGGACTCATTCCCGCAGCGCTCTATTGATAATGAGTTTAATTGTTAGATTACAATATGTGGCCAAAAGCACGCGGGCAGCAGTTTATGTACGTTTTTCCTGGTTTGTGGCGTCTTTGTTCCAGTGAGGGTAAATCATAATGCTGCAGCATACAGTCATATTTCATTAGATAATAGTGTACGCAGAACAGTTTGTGTTTGTCCCTTTCCTGTTTGAACACGACAATGCCTCAATGTGCACAAAGCCAGCTCCATAAAGAAATGTTTGTTTCCCAGTTCGGTGTAGAAGAACTGGGCTCTGACCTATCCGACACCTCTGGGCTGAACTCAGGCTTCACGCTGCGTTCAGGTCACGTGGGATTGGAAGGAATCCTCTCGTCTGTCTTCACAGTCGTATGAGTGTGGAGTTCGCTGTGTTTCATACAGTGCGCTTTACATTAATTAAAGTTGGAGTTAATTGCTTTCAGAGCTTTCAGAATGAATCCCAACTTGAAGCTGTTGTCACTCTGATATGAGATGAATGAGTGTCAGACCTCACCGATGTTGTGGCTGCAGCAGGTTCAACATCTGGTGGAAAAGAGCAGCACATTGATGCTCATGGTTGTGGGAGTGATGTTCAAGTGTCCACATACTTTTGGCTATGTAGTGTGCAAACCTATGCTCTCATAGTGAGCTAAGTGCAGTTATCAGGCAGTAATGTGAACTCCACTGTAATCTATTTACAGGGAACTAGAATCAAATCACACTCACACAGCTCGATTCCCCCTCTCTCTCTCTCTCTCTCTCTCTCTCTCTCTTCAGAGGCCACCCAGAAGGCCCAGATGCTTCCTGCGAGGCAAGCGGAGGCAGAGCCTCAGAGGCGTGAGGCCCTGCCGGAGGTGCGCGGCGGGCAGCAGGACGAGCCCGGCCTGGCTCTCTCACCGGACGGCCCCGGGGCGAGTCCCGAGCCGCCGTCACTCTCGCACACACCGGATGGCAACGCTGCCACGGACACACTGGCCTCAGACATGCTGAGGAAACTGGCAGGTACAGCTGAGTGTGTGTGTGTGTATGTGTGTATGTGTGTGTGTGTGTGTGTGTTTGTGTGTGTGTGTGTAATGTAATGTAGGAGGCTCGAATGGTCGAATTTATTTCTAATGAAAAATGTTTAAACAAATATTTCTTTCTGATAAAATCAGTGTGTCTAATTACACATCCAGGGTTGAGTGATATATACTGTAAGATCTTAATGATACCAATGCTATTAGGGATTCTGCTTACCCGCACAATTCTTTATGGATGACTGTATTGATTCCTGATCAGTTTTCTGTGTGCGAAAAACCTTGACCGGTTTTTAGCATCAATGCAACTGTTTCAGTATCTCTGTACCCGGTGTAGGAACAGAGAACAGTTCTAGTAGTTTGAGTGTCTTTGTGAAAGTTTCCACGAGCGTAGACGCATGAGTTTGACTTCATTGTTTTACAATATAAAGAATTGATCAGCTCAGATTCAGATGGATCGAACAATTTGGGTTCTCAGCTGGTATCTCGTTCTCGATTCCCGCCTCTAATGACATTATCACACTTTACACCATGTAGCTATCCCCTTGATTTGTCAGGTACGTAAGTTGCTGAATTAACCAAAAACAGTGTCTAGTTATATCATCTAACAGTTTCCTTCACGGTCCAAATTTACTTTCTCACAATATAAAATCACACAGCATAAAGGAGGATTTCATTTCAAACACCCACTCTTAATAAACACCCTCAACAATGCTGCATTCAAATGAGGTTTTTTCACTTTCGTGTCATAATTAAGACGTTTTCCACCAAAATGTTGTGACCTTCCATCTACTGCTGCAGCTAATAAATATTGATTAATCTGTTGATTATTTGCCTCAGTGATTGATTAATCATTTAGTTTATAAAATCTCAAGGTGACGTCTGATATTTTGACAGAGAAACACAAGAAATCCTCACATTTGAAAAGCTGCATTCAGGGAATGTTTGGTATTTTTGCTGAATAAAAGATTTAATTATTAATTCAACATTATTCAAAATAGCTATGAATGAAATTCACTTTCAATTAAATATCCTTTCAGCGTTTATTATTTCATTTTTTTGACATTTCCACGTAGGAAGTATTTGTATAACGTGTGACAGCAGGTGAATAAACACACTGATTTCCCACCAATCACAGAGCGGCAGGAAGTGAACAGCCTCGGGGTGAGGGTCAAAGAAGAGGAGGAGCCAATGGAAGTCGACACGTTGGTCGTCTCTGACCTCGTCCGTGATCGACCAATCACAAAAGAGATAATAACCCCGCTCTCCTCGATGACGAGCCACCACCTTTTCAGTATTAAAACAGAAGACCAGGGCAACAAGATGGCAGAGCAATTGCACCCTGGAGCCACAATGGCGGACCAGTGTCTACATGGCCTTAAAATAGAGGACACATTTTATACTGGAGGCTGCCGGCCCGGCTCCAAGACGGCAGACAGCGTCGTCTCTGGAGCCAACAAGATTCAGTTTAGAGTGAAACTGGAGGATCGTGGCGTCTCCGGAGCCAAGATGGATGACCAGCTTCTCTTTAAAGCAAAAATTGCAGAGCGGCCTTTGTCTGCAGCCAAGATGAGCAACAAGTTTCTCTCCGGAGTCAAGACGGAGGACCCGTTTCCTCCAGGAGCCAAGATGGAGAACCGGCTTCTTCCTGGAGCCCAGATGGTGGACCATGTTTTCTCAGGAGCAAAGACGGAGGAGCAGCTCTTCTTGGGAGCCAAGGTGGAAGACCAGTGCCTCAGAGCCGTGCTGTGGCAGGACATGTCAGTGAACCTGGCGTCCACGCTGCTGCACCAGCTCTCAGGTAACACACACACACACACATACACACACTTTCACTCCTGATTCAGTTGCTATAATTCTTTCTTAAGTCTTAAATGTGATTTTTTTCTAAACATTAATTGGATTAATGAAGTTAATGTCACTTGTACAAAGCTGATTCTCCCTTTTTAAATGTGTTTTTGGGAAGAATTTGTTGTCATCATGCTGCAACGACAAAACAAAACCAATACGCACCAATACTGTACTTTTCTTGCCAGTATGGACGTAAAATAGGTCTTAAATTGCATTCGTAATGGTCTTTTAAAGTCTTAAATTTAATTTAATAAGACAATAATTGTCTATAATCTTCCTGCAGAGAGAGTCAGTAAATCCAACAGTCGGCTGGTGGAGAGGACCACTCCGCCCATCAGAAGCAGGTAACGATCAATCAGTGACCTCACGTGGACACTTTGACCTCTGACCTGCTTCTATATTCTTTTCTTTTTTTTTTGTTGACGAAACATGTGTGCACGACTGTGTGCGTGTGCATGTGTATGGTGTGTGTGTGCGTGTTACCCTTTCTGTAGTCCTGTTTTGAAGGTGAATGTGGACCCACTCCGCTCGTCCCCGCTTCTGAGCTCCCAGGAACCTCCACACGGTAATACACTGCACACACACACACACACACACACACAGATACAGTAGGTGGTGTGAGTAGCTACTTGTGCTTCGACAGCGTCACAGTGTTTAGATAAAAACACAGAGGCACTGCGTGAGAAATCAGCTGCTCCTGTGTTGCCTGAGGAGGCGTGGATCTTTGAATGTTGATCGCCGTCTCATGGGAGTGTTTCTGTAATCGTACACTGAGTCAGTCTTGTGCTTTTCATTGACGTGTTCGCTTGTCAGTCTCAGTGTAATATCCGGTAATGAAAAACGGCGCTGTCAGTCAGCGGAGGGATTAAAGAGTCAGCGTCACCATCGGGATTTGATTGAGGGATGCACTCGATTAATCTGTGATCAATTATTCAGTCCCCTCCAGAGATGTCGCAACTATTAATGTAAATTTAACCAATCTCACCAATCATAGCAGTTCCCCCGGAGCGAAACGTTGAAAAGTTGTCTTCGGTTTTTAATGTATTATCCAATAACTGCAACTATTTAAGCAATTTTCACTTCCTTCAACAATTTGAATGCAAAAATTGATTTTGCAAATGCTATTTTTTAGAAAAGCTCCTGTGAAATCAGGAATTTTATGCCACAACAATCTTCCCAAAAAAGCCAGTGAAATCTTGGAGGGACTGTCAGTTGTCCATTATTCATATTAACAATTAACATCCATCGGTTTTATTCTGGGGTAGTGTTACGCCTTGTGGTGGACAGTAACTAAGTATTTGCTTAAGTACTGTTCTTTAATACAATTTTGAGGTAGTACTGTGATTATTTCCATTTTTTGCTACTTCTATTTCCACTTCAGAGATAAATACTGACTTTTAGTCCACTACATTTATTCTATAACTTCAGTTACTTAAAAATATAATCAACAAATAAATTATTATTAATAATTAATAATTATTATGGATCAACTTCATTGAACCCTGGGTTTAAATGCCCTAACCAGCTTATATTAGATCATTAAAATTAGCTCAACTTTTACCAGCTGCAACATTAAAAGTGTTGAACACACTAACACTATGTGTTTACTGCTACTTTTACTTAGACGGTAACTTCTGTATTTTTCAAACTGGACCTTATTTTTTTTAATTATTTTTTGTTGAAATTGGTCCAGTTTTTAAAGCCGCAAATCCAGCTGCAATGTAAAATGTGCAACCACTGTCCACAGATCGTTACTGTCAAGTGTCTAACAACATTTATTATTATAGAGAGCACCGTCCAGAGAAAGACCTTTTAACCAGAAACAGCTGTTATATCGCTCTGTTCAAAGCCACCAGACATTTTACATGCTAACATAGTAACACTTCCTTTGGACACAAGACATTTGGTTTGTCTTCTTTCACTGTCCCAACAATCACTTTAAACTCTGGGTCGGATGAAATACATTCACAGAGTTAGAAAAACATTGGAAAGTAGGGTTGACATTGAAAAATACTGAAGTTATCCTGAAGTAAAATACCTGAGTACTTCTTCCTCCACTGTTAGCGATAGGAGTGCAACATAAAAGTTAAAAGTCCGCTCCGTCCTCGCCGGTAAGCCTTTATATCGTTACTCTAAAAAGAGAAACTGTGACAGTAAACTGAAGCAGCAGTCTACAGTTCAGGGTGAACCAAGGCCAAAACAACAAGCAAAAGAATCTCCTCAGAAAGTGCTGACTAACCAGACATCAAACAAACAAACAAACAAACAAACAAACAGACATTCACTAAACCCAACTCCCTACAGCAACACAGGAGAAAACAGCAGCTCCATTCGTATGTATGTGAAGACTCAGAGTAAGTATTGAGTCTGGCATTACTTTTAGACTTTATAATGGAGGTATATATACAACCTTTATATAACCAGGTAGTCTCACTGACATCAAGCACACACAGACAGCATTAGTCACACACACATCTCTTGAAAGGTCCCAAATTAAAAGTTTAACTTTATCCAATGGGATGAGACTTTGAAATCTCGATGTCCTCTGAAGTTCTTTCCATTTATATGGCGTTTTAAGTCCGGTGTTTCCTCGTGGGGTGTCCAGGATGTGGTCAGATGTGAAGTGATATACTGAGGCAGCCTCAGTCGGAGACTCTTACACACACTAATGATAATGTGTAGCTCTCGAATTGACCGCCCTCGCATCGCACAGCTTTCAGTCAGACTCAGGAAGGACTCGTTCAGGAGATATCGAAGGCGTGCTAGCTCCCACAGTTTGTTTACAGTGCTCACCCACATCACTTCTTTTTTTTAAAGATTACTTTTGGGCATTTATTTATATCTTTATTGGACAGTGATAATAAAGTAATAGACAGCAAGCGAGGGAGAGAAAGGGGGCGTTGCACTGTAACCTTTCGGCCACCAAGGCGCTCCACCCAGCCTATTTCCTGTCCCCCTTCTGCTTTTTGCCAAACCACATGAGTTCATTTCACCCGGCGAAATCCGCTGTGAGTGCAGCTTTAGAAAAAACACAAGGGGCTGCATGAGTGAGGAAATGTTGTTTGAAAATGTAGTGTGAAGGTTTATCAGATCCCAAAACAAAAAGACTCTTGACACAAGATTTTACAGCTGGAAATTATTATTATTGTAAATGATTTTATCTTTCAACCCTTTGATTGTGAGGTTAACGTGGATGCAGGGCCAAGTTGAGCCAAATCCGCCGCGTCCTCTGGTCAGAGTTAATCTGAGTCCATGACACTGTTTGGAAATAATGATCATCCTCTGTATTAATCTGAGCTGCTACAGGCTCCCTCACACACACCTTTACACACACTGCACTGGCATTACTAAGTAAACCCTTCTGGGGAATTTAGTTTGCCTGCATTGTTTTTAATGCAGCCTTATCGTCGTTATGATTATTATTACTTTTTAATGATTGTATTTCAGTGTACTGTTTCTGTCTGTGTTATGGATTCATGCTGCCACCGGATTGCCCTTTGGGTTTAAAATAAAGACGGTACTGAAGTGAAGTGACTAAACGCTCACAGTCTACAGTCACAGAGAAGTTTATAAATAATAACTTCCACAGGGACTTCGTCTTTAGTAGATTTTAGAGCGCAGCGGAAGATTTATTTCGTGAATCGCTTAGCAGAATAATAAACACTCTTTTTTTCTGTTTTCTCTCACAGAAACCACAACCAGCCTCAGCAGAGATCAAACCACAGGTTGCTCTTACTTCTACAGGTAACACAAACACACACCTTTTGTTCTGCTATACTTGTAAGGACCCTCATTTACATACTGGATTCCTAGGACCAAAACCTGATTCTGTCCTTAATCCTGAAACCATCAAACTGTGGGTTTTTAATGCTCCACCAGTGCAGCATTAAAAATGTATCTTTCCTTCCTGTAATTAACTGTAGACAAAATCATCACTGGCAGCCTCTGATGTGTAATGTGTTTCTAGAGTTTATTCATATTCTGAGACGAATGACTGTGAGTTTAATGATTTTATATAATCTTTTGTTAGCATTAAACAAACCTATGAACTTGTGAAATTCTTCCGAGGCTGAAGGGATCATATTTTACTTAAAGGAATATTTTAACATCTTGGGGAAAACACTTTCTCTCACGTCCGTATGCTAAATATAAAGCTCTCTCTTGCAAAGGTAACAAAATCCACCAACCAGCAACCCTAAAGCTCAGTTAAATGTTTTTTTTAATGAGTCACTGGGAGGTTACCATCACGGTTTTTTGGAAGCACTGAGAGTTTGGATAATAAAAACAATGCAGTGCAATTGGTAAATGAACCAATTGCGTTAATAAGAAACGTTGTAGTTATGGTTATACTCTTATAGATAGAGATAGAGACAGGCTAGCAGTTTCCCCCTGTTTTCAGTCTTTATGCTAAGCTAAGCTAATAGAGGGGTTTTATCGATGACGTATTTTTATAGTCCAACCCAGAAGTTAGCGTCGCTCTGGTTCCTTTGACAAGGAGCCAATAAAGGCTTCTTTTTTTGCATAAAATAAGCTCTGTGGCAAATAAAGCTATGAGAAGCTTATTATATATGTTTTGTTCAGCAAGATAATGCCAGAACTAAAAAGCTAATCTTCGACGTTTAATGTCACGACAACTTGTAGCCTTATTCGCACTTGTTAGCAGCCGCGACGCATAATAGCTTCAAATTCCAGGTTGGGTTTTCTGACAGGAATCGAACCATCTAACCCACTGACCTCGAGAAGACGGAACCAGAGGGCTAAAAATGCAAACTTATTTCTGGGTTTTAGGAAACTTTCTGCAACACTCATGTTCATATTTATCGTACAGACATAAGAGTCAATCTCTCGTCTTATTCTTTTTTATTGACGAGATCTCACATTTTCTTCGAATGTCATATTTCCAACTTTTTGGTTGTAACTTTGTCTACAAAAAGTTTACACTGTGGAAACACCATCGAGCTTGTTTACTAATCAGTAAAAACAGATGTTGGCAGCAGTCGTACATTGTTGATGGCGATTGTACGTCGCAGGAAATATGTAGAAAAATGAAATATCTGTTACTATGGCTACCATAACACTCGTTACGCCCTCCCCCTCCAGGTGTCATGTGTGTGGGTTTGAGACAGACGGGCGGGCCCTTTTCCAGAGTCACATGACAGAACACCGCCAGTGGGAGCACGCCTCCTTCTCGCTGCACTGCTGCGTGTGCGACCACTCGACCAATCAGGAGGCAGAGATGAGGGCTCACGCCAACACGCACCTGCAGGGGAACATAGGAGCCAGCGGAGAGATGAGGTGGGCTCACTTTAAAGTGTGTGTGTGTGTGTGTGTGTGTGTGTGTGTGAACATGGTATGGGATTTTCAGGATTTGGGATTTGGTTATTAAAGGCTGCAACCGACGTTCAGTATGTGTTGAACGCTGCAACAGACTATTAGGACCTCTGATGGGAAAAAATCTCTCATTTGTTAGAACATTTTTGAGAAAAAATCGTAATGTTATAACAAATAAATGTATGTATAGTGAATATTTAGTTGTAAATACAGACTTTATTGGCTTTATTATATATATTATACTATGATATGTTCTTCTTTTCTTGTAATGTTTTGACTTTATTCTTGAAATTTTTATTTTTAAAAATCCCCATAATATCGCACTTTTTTTAATCAAATGAAATTTTATTTCCTAAATTAAAAAATATAAATTTAAATCTTGTAAACTCACTTTTTTTTAAATCACACAACATTTTACAGTTAAAAAATACTCTTGATGTCACTTTTCGTTATTAATTAATAGTAATTAACCTCCAACATATCGTTTCTGTGCTGCAGTTTCTTGTTAATTATCAGACAAACACACTGGTAAACTAACTGTACTGAGCCAATATTGGAAGATATATCGGTCAGACTGTAGCAAGAGGTTTATAAAAAATCTATTAAGATAAACATTCATTTACCAATTGCACTGCACTGTTTTTATTATCCAAACTCTCACTGCTTCCAAAAAACCGTGATGGCAACCTCCCAGTGACTCATTAAAATACAAACTATGTGCTAATCTTTATATTATAAGGTTAAATTATAACACACTGCCAGTTAGGAAATTATACACAACTAAAACATTTAACACAATAACAACAATAACGACGGCTCCGCTCTATTTGAGTGTCCCAGTAAGCTTTGACAGTGAGCTATAGCACAACACCAGGACCCTGAAACTGAAGCAGCTAAATGGAATACAGCCGCCATCGATTGTATTGTTCATACCTGTGCTTCTTTTATATAGAAGGAGGATCTTTAACCTCTCCCAGTACAGCCCCCGTTCATCTTTAACCTGAGCAGTGGTCCAATCAGACGGATAAATGATGACAAATAAAGGATTAATTAGGCTGCATTCATTAAACTGTGCAGTACATCCGGTTTGTGGGCTGGCAGCAGGCAGACAAATGGAGATGTCCGGAGCCAATCTGGGCGTATTTTTTAATGGGTCGATATCAGGTAAAATAAAGCCGATGAAAATCTTCACTGTGCTCCAATTTAACTGCAGCCGTTTTCACATGAAGTAGTAATAGTAGAGTCCCTGCTAAACAATAAATAAACCTCTGCCACGAATATCCACACGTAAACAATTCATTAAAAATGTGTACGTGTGTTTTGAGAGTCAGTATCACTAAACATAATATATAAAACGATCCAGCTGATCAGATCAGATTCTCCCAGTTTCATATCGTATCAATAATTTAAGCTTATAGACTAAATAGTTTCTGACCAGGACCTGGAGCAGGACAGCTGTTACTGTAATGTGTCAGATTCATATTCAGTCAACATTCAGATAAACTGAAGTATCGTCTGATATTAGCGGAGTTGGATCGGGATCATGGCGTTGTGATCAGGACTGATCAGTAATGGTCAGGTGCAGCGTATCATTGTGTGTATTATGTGTGAAGGAATGTGTGTGTGTGTGTGTGTGTTATTAACCCCCCTCCCTCCCCTCTCTGACTCCTAGATGCCCCAGCGCCCCTCCTGCTGCTGCCGCCTCCGGCAGCGCTCCGTCAGTTGCCATGGCAACCCAGCCAGAGAATAGCACCTCTGAGCATCGCTGCCGCATCTGCCAGAGGTCGTTTCCAGGGCAACAGGAGCTATTGGTTCACTTCCAGGGTCATCGCCAAGGCAACCAGTACCGGTGCGACCGGTGCGGCCACCTGACGCGGACAGCCAACAAGCTGGTGGAGCACGTGCGTGTGCACACGGGGGAGCGGCCGTTCACCTGCGACCTCTGCCCGTACAGCGCCAAGCGGCGGGACAGTCTGCGCCTGCACTGCAAGGTCAAACACCCCGGCGACGTGCACACGCACCGGTCGTACGTGCACGGAGACAATCAGCGCTCAAACAAACACGTTCAGCGGCTGCACACACCGCCGAGCACACACACTGCTGCACCCTCCTCCTCCTTCTCCTCTCTTCCTCCTCTTCATCCCTCGCTCTCTGACCGCGCAGGATGGAGGGATTTGTCTCCTCTCCTTCCCATCACAACGCTCATTTCTCTGAAACCACGCTCTCCTTCATCCTCCTCTTCCTCCTCCTCCTCGTCTGCCTCCACCAAACACTCCTTTCTCGGTTACCTTGGTCTGACGACTTCTTTATAAACGCTTTCTGTTTCTCCTCCTCTTCTCTCCTCTTCTCTCTTCTCTACTCTCCTTATTTCCTCTCCTCGTCCTCTATCTCCTCCCCTGTTCTTGTCTCCTTGCACCTCTTTTCGTCCTCCTTCTTTCTTTCCTCTACTCGCCTCCTCTCTTTGTTAACTGTCTTTTCTTCTCCTCTCCTTGTTTCCTATCCTCTCCCTCCTCTCCTCGTTTCCTTGCATCTCTTTTGCGCTCCTTCTATTTTACTCTGCTCTCTTTCTTTCCTCTCCTCTCTCCTCCTCTCTCCTCTCCTCTTCTATCCATCCTCTGGACTTTTAAAGTGATGGATGTAAAGCTCTGTAATGTATCCAAGGTACTGTCACTCAAACACTATGTATGAGAATGTCAATCAGCTACTGTTATGCTCAATGCACTGAAAACACACAGATAAGGAACGTTTTGAATTTATTCGAGTTTTGCATCATGCTCGTGATTTTTGCTGCATTCCTGCCTGCTTTTAGTCGGTCATATAATCACTGAACTCTTAGCTATTTAACCGTGTGACATATTTATTGCCTGTCTCTCTCGTCCTTCAGAAACCCTGCACTTAAAAACCCTCCCGTCACCAGAGGCTTCACTCCATCGATCACCTATTGATTCTGTTGATTTATAATCGCAGGGAAAATCACTGCTGAGAAAAAAGATTGGCCGGACAGTTGGACCTGTTACATAGTGCCACGCTGCTGCTAACATGCTGATGTTTAGCAGGTACAATGTTCACCATCATCTTAGTTTAGTGTGTTAGCACTCAACGCAGAGCACAGCTGAGGCTGATGGGAAAGTGGTTGCAGGTATTTGGGCAAATTAGGAATTTCTGAATCAAATTTCAAGGCCGCCGACCGCCTTTGCTAGCAGTCCAATTATCTCACCCACTGATAGCTTGTTAAAATCACTGATTCTTACAGTGATAATAAAGCAGTTTATAGCCGGGAGTGTAGACGCCATCAGGATGAAGTGACAGGTCATTACCGTCCTGTTTTACGTGTTTTAAGAAACGTTGTTTTTGTGCCAAACTTGATTTATTTTTCCTCTCTTTAATCCTGGAAATGTAGTTGGAGCTCCATCCAGCTTCACTAGGTTTAACAACTTTAAGTTAAATGATCTGAAATCAGTTTTATGGCAGCAACTCACAACTATTTTCATTGCCAGTTAAACGATTAATCATCAGTCTCAAGTAGCTTATTTTATCCGTCCAAATATTCCGTTTACTATCATAGAAGTGTCAGTATTCACATTTGAGAAGCTGGAACTGTTGAATGTTTGCTTAGGAAATGTTATGACTTTATTATTAATCAGTCATCAAAATCGGATGGTTTACTCACTTTTCCGTTTTCTTCTGTTTTGAGGATTTTTGAAGGTTCACGGTTTCTGGAGGACAGTGATGATATTTCTAATATTTGTGTTGTATATTGATAATGTATTTGTGTTTACATAACTACATGGGGCTCCTAAGAGTCTAAAATGTCTTAATTTAAAGTTGCACTATATGTAGTTTTGCTGAGACAAAAAAAGACTCATTTTAGAATACGTATGCCTTTCTTTTTCTTTTAAACACTCGTCACAAACCAGAGAGTTTGAAAAGCTTCTCTCCAGTGTTATTTCACAACACATAGTATGATACAACTGATCCAGGAGGTCGGATTGTGTTCACATGAGCGAAGGCAGTGGGCGGGGCCAAAGACTGAACTTTTTAACAACTAAAATATATTTTAATGCGTATTATGTATTGTATTACGGAGGCTGTGAGGTGTCAGAGGAAAAATACTAGTTTAGTAATTCATGCTCTGGATTTAATATCATATTGTTGTTGTAAGAAGAAGAGAAGAGGGACACAACGCCGGTTAAATGCAAAAGAATATACTGTATGTACAAAAGAAGAAAGACTTAAATAGACCCACAAACTCAAACAGGCGTCCTTCATTTGGGATCACTGAGCAAAACAATGTAACTTATAACTATATCAAACATTTAGCCTCCTCTCTTGTAGAGTGGAATAAATTAAATAAATAAAAGTGCCAATACCACGACGTAAAAAAATACTCTATTACAGGTAAAAGTCACACATTTAAAGTCCTACCTAAACAAAAGAAATATACTTAAAGTCAATCAAAAGTAAAAGTACATTTTACTGCTGCAGCTGCTCTTGGTGGAGCTGGTTTGAACTTCTTTACATACAGTTAACTAGTTTAGTCTTGTGGTTCCCAACTAAAGGGTTGGGTCCCTCGAAAGGGTCACCAGATAAATCTGAGAGGTCATGAAACAGTATTTGTACTTTTCTTTATCCTTATTTGTGAAATATTGGAGAATTTTACCTCTTTGGGCCTGCAACAATAATTTAAAGTAGATATAAAGTTTAGAAAGTTGGTTTGGAACTGAAACATGACAAAGGGCCCCAACTAGACAGTAAGCCTTACACATTGTATTGTATTTTATAAACTAGAAGAATAGATATAAAGTTGCATTGTACGGAAATACTCACGTAAAGTACAAGTAACACAACATTTAAGTTAAGTTAAGTTAAGTTAAGTTAAGTTAAGTTAAGTTGAAGACGATGAAGAACACATTTCCTTAATGAAGTGACTGCATTACTTACATCCGTTATCCTGTAAATAAATTTAAGGAATTCCAAGAAAAAGATGAAAATTAAACTGTATTAAATCCAACCGATCCATAGTGAGTCTGGAGGGTACGTGTATGAAGGTAGAAGGTTAATCATAACAATTAATCTGTTGATTTTTCTCCTTGACACCTCCCAGACTCCGTATTTACACAGAGAAGCAGTGTAATATTTTTTTACATTGAAGCTCATGCGTACAATCTTTCACGTGTAACATGAATGCAGCATCAGCCCTGTGAGATAACTAGACCTTCAATCATCAGGATATGCCACTGCCCTTTTGTCTCAGCTTCGACGTGCGTCAACGCTCCAGAAGCGTTCACACGTCCGTTGATGCGCCGCTCCACCAGCCGGCCGCTGTGTGTCGCACTTTAACCGTCGCTTAAGGCTGTTTTTCTGCTCTCTCTCTGGATGAAAGCTTCAGCATCACTGAGTGGTGTCAACAGTGATGTCACAGAGCACCGGAGTACAGCTGTGCGTCACTGCAGCGAGCTGAGATGTTGAGCAACTTGAGGACAGCAAAGAGAGAGACTTTGTTTAAAAGTTTGGACCCTTTTGTTGTAGTGAATGTTGCATTACCTCTGCTGCACACTCAGCTGTAAAAGTAAAACTCAAAGTGAGGCAGAGATAGAAACTAGCTGGTTAAAGAAGTAAAGAAGCTCTTTAAGTGTTCACGACGGGAGGATTAAACGGCGTCCGCACTAAGAATGATATCTACAACAAGAACTATAAAGATATAGTTTTAAAACCCGTCCAGACTACAGCTGTAAGGTCAATGACAGTGGTGAGCGATAGCGTCGGGATCACTTTAAATGCTTATATAACGTTATTTTAGGCTGCAAATTACACATTAAAACATAATTTTACCTGAGACATACTCAGCCAAACTGTCTTAAATCAGTACCAGTGAACTTCAAAGTATGAATAAAATTTGTCATCAAAAGACGACAACTCTCGTCCAAGCGTTGGATTCTCCTAACCCCCCTCGGCTTTGAAGAACTTTGTGAACCCAGATCCTTCTGGGGTTTCTTTTTGTTTGTTTCTCTGTGTTCAGCAGTCGGACCTCATCAATATACATTTCCCTTCAAGCTGCCGACACAGTGGAATGTGCAGCACGTTGGGTCACTGTTTACACATTATTGTTCTTGGTGTGGACGGCCCTTTACTCCCTCAAATTATCAATAATTATTAGATTTGTTTTCATGTTTTATTTACTGTTTCCATGACGTGATAAAAGGATGTAACTACAGGGAAAATAACTCAAACATAACGTTGATTTCTAATTAATTTTCTGTATTTATTACTTGCATTGCTTGATTTTAACTGTGATATATATATATTGTGTATTATTAGTAGCTTACAAACCGCCAACCTCCTCGCTAACAAGCTAACATTTAGCTCAAGTGAGCAGAAGAGCTAACGAGGTTGTTAGCTGGCTTCCTGCAGCGCCGTAAAACCACAATACAGTTTGCACATTAGAACAAATAAAGGTTTAATAAAAAATCTTTTTATTGGTTTCTTTATTGATTTATGAGGTTTAATTTCACTTATTTAATAATAATAATGATAAAGTTGCTGCGGCTGAAGACGTGCAGTAGAGGTAATCCTGATCCTCGTGGTCCAACCTGAAACCACACAGAGCAGCTACACTAGAAGAACCTGCACACAGGTTTCAATATGAACCGTATCTCGGATCAATGGTGCTAGACTCTGCAGAGCCTGAGAGCTAATATATTTCTGTTTCATTTAAAAAAAAAAGTTTGTTTTAACCACAAAACCACACGAAGAAGCATGAAACACAAAAACCTCGCCACCTTTTCGAAGCTCGCGACCATCTCAGATCGTCTCCCTCTCACATTATTTGCTTTAATCTTTCTTTTTTTTTTAACTTTCATTTTTTATCTGCTGTATCCTGTTACTGTTTGCTGCTGCAATGATCAATAAAGTTTAATTTAATCTGACTCACCTCTACTCACACCTCGTCTTTACTCAAATGTACTCACGCGCCCGAGTGCAGGGAGATCGTGTTACACTACGAGAATGGGTGCTAAAGAAATCCAACCTGTTCACTCGGTGCAGAGATTGTACTCACTGTAAGTAGCAGTAGCACTCACTGGTTCTAGTGCACAGCCACTGTTTAATACTATAGAGTCATATAACGTCGAGCTGAGTGGATCTGAACACAAAAATCACTCCGATTGGATCAGAAAACGAGAGAAAAACTGAGAGTTTAAGAGGCATTTTAGAGAGAAATCAGGGATGAAGGTCACACACCACACTCACCAAACGAGTGGGAGGATAAGTGTCAATCGCCATGTCCCCCCTCCTCGGCGGTTGCCACGGTTACCTGGCATGTTGTAGGTCTCCATGGCGGCAAGCAGGGGGCCCGTCCATTGGCTGGGAGCAGCTCCGGGCTCGGCGAATCATCGGGCGGCGTGAAGGCTCAGGGAGGGCGAAGAAAGGAAAAAAAAACACAAGCAAAGGTCATTATTAGATTTTGGTAAATGGCATTACAGGAGAGGAGAGGAGAGGAGGGGAGAGGGAGGTGGGAAGGGAGGAAGAAGAGCTGGCGTGTGGAGGGAGGAAGATAAAGAGGAGGAGGAGGAGGTGAAGAAAGGGTGTGAGAGAAGAAGCCAGGAGGAGGAGGTGAAAATGAGATAAAGAGCAGGTGAAGAAGAGGTCAAGGAGGTATAAAAGAGGAGGAGGAGGAGTTCATAGAGACGATCACTTTCTTTCTTCGCTTTGACCCAAAGGTCAAAGGTCAACGGGCTGAGGGAGAGAGAGACATGGCCTTTAGATGCTCTGACATTTTCCATCAGGGTGGGTGTCCGTTGAAGAGGACATCCATTACTGTGAATGTCAAAATAAAAGAGTAAAAGCAGCAAAGAAGTCACCAATAATTCTATTTACAGCATAAAAAACAGGATTTCACACAGTTTGACACGTTAGGAAATGTGTTTGTTCGCTTTCTTGGTGAGCGTTAGATGTTAAGGTCGACTCCGCTCTCACGTCTGTCCCACTTAGCTTAGCTTAGCATAAAGACTGGAAACGGGGAAACAGCTAGCCTCGTGGTGAAAACAAATCAGACAAACTTGTTGTTTTTTTACATTTAGGTTTGTGTATAGGTTAAACCACTGATGGTAGAATCTAAGTATACCGTGAAACTTCTAATAATAGACCCGGGTGTTTATTTGCTTAAATCACTGAACTCCTCCCGCCTTTATTTGGGACAGGCCTCAACATTCCTTTAGCACAAAACACTAAACTAAACTCTAACTGCTGCTTCTCCTTGACTTTTTGTTCGAAACTAACATGATGATTTATGTAAGCTTCAGAGGTTTTTTTACGTCTCTCTTTGTTATACAGTGTACCGTAATGTCAGAATGAATTAAACTTTACACTTTGTTGTTTGTAAAAATCTAGTGAAACAATGAGTTTGTGGAGATCTATATACCTGATCTAATGATGTTCATTATGTTCGATCATCGACAGAATTTTAAACATCTTAATTTTGTAGGAGATGAAACGACCGGTGGGTTTTAAGAGGTTTTATACATCGAGATCATTCCTCTAAAAATCCGTCCAGACCAGGCTTTTAAAGGAGAGCTGCGTCTATTAGGTTCTACGGTATATAAATATAACTTAATTTAAAAACACATTACTATCAAAATACTTGAGATTGCTGAAATATAGTTTAAAATAATAATAATACGAGTCCGCTACGTACTCACGTATACATCCATGATTAGTTTCAAGCTAAAATCTGATGCTAAGACAGCAAGTAGCAGACTGCACTCCTGGATCCAAACAGGAACTATCAGACCAGGAGTGACCCCCTTTTACCAAATTAGCTCTGGTTCTTGAACTGGTTCCATGTCTGCGAGAGGAAGGAACAGAGGATGAGCTGAATCCAGATCAGTGGTCACATTACACACACACACACACGCACACACACACACACACACACACACACGCACACACACACATGCACGCAGTGTTAGCCAACACCCAATGTCTCTTTGCCTCTTTGCACTCTGCAGGACTGAAAATCAATAACTGCTGTGTGTGACAGGAAGAGATGGAAGAACCACAGAAGGCCGGAGAGAGGGAGAGAAAGGGAGGGATGAGAGGAGGAGGAGGAGGAGGAGGAGGGAGAGTTCAGCTGAAGCCACAGAAGGATGGAGAAAAGGAAGGAAGCACCATAGAAGGATTAAGGGAGGAGAAACAAACTAAACTTTCATTAATGTAAGAGGATGAAGTCAGTGGTGGAGGAAGTACTCAGATCATTTACTTATTAAAAGTACTAATATTGAATACTGAAGTCAAAGTATTATAAGTATTATAAGGAAATGTACTCAATGTATTAAAATGAACTGTACTTTTAAAACATTTGCATTCAATATTCTTGTTTCTGAGCAGCTGTGGTGGCAACTTCCTTAAATATTTCCAGGAATAAATATGTGATTTAATACTAATTATAGAGAAAATAGTAATTTATTGTATTATTATAAACTATTTGTGTCCAACAGACCTGATTGAACATTTCCTTTATAACCAGGAACAAACCATACAAACCTTTTAGGGGATATTTGGATAAAATCTATATTCAGTCTTAATTTAAAATCATCTTTCACCTTCTTTTTTTTACTGAATGTCTGTGTCCGGTTTCTCTAACTCCGTGCAGCTTGATGCAGACCCCGGTGGGCGGGGTCCTGCGGGGTTTCCACGCTGTTTTTATCCCCCTCTTATCCAACACGTGGAGCTCGGGACTCGTGATGTGACAGAGCTGCACCGCAGATCAAACATACCGGGTAAAACACACATAATGTAGCACGAGTTCCTCTTTAAAACGCATTATTTATGCAATTAAATGTTTGTCTAGGAAGTATAACGAGTAGGCGAGGCTTTTATTTTGATAGGAAAACGTGTGGGACACTAAAAGGAAATGTTTTATTTTGAAAAACAAAAAAAACAAATCTTTTTTTTTTGCTTTAAATAAAATATATATTTTTTTTATTTTCTGTAGAAGTTATTTTAGTATTTAAAAGTCTGATCCGTCGTTGCACGTTATTAAAGTGGAGTTTAACGCGTTTTATTTTGGAAAAGTTTTATATTTTCGTGCGTTTTAAAACTCTTATTTTGGTGGGGCAGAAAGGGGGCGTGTCCTGTTAGCCTGCCGTGCTAACTGCGAGCTAAAGTTTGACTCCACTTTCACTTTTGGGAACAGTTTCGGGAATACCGAGCCTGGGATGAGCACGGCTTCCAGGGAAAACGAAACCAGCCGCCGCCAGAGTTCGTGTCGGACGCGGTTCGGGTCGCAGGACGCGGACATTTGACCGTCTCCGCGGGGTTTTTGTGACAGTTCGCATCCGGAGGTCGACTCGAAGATTTGCGGAGGAACGACGCGCGGTTAGCGGGTTAGCATGGACGGCAGCAACGAGGAGCGCGGAGCCGAGAGGCTGATGGATGAATACCTGAAGACCGTCGGCCTGCATCGGAAGAGGGTCGCCAAAGACGGGTCGTGTTTGTTTCGGGCCGTCGCCGAGCAGGTAAAGAGACACCTGAGGTTAAAGGAGAGGGAGGGAGAGAGGGAGAGAGAGAGAGAGGGAGGGAGGGAGGGAGGGAGAGAGGAGCTAACTGTTAGCTCCGCTGAGGACAGGTGACTTCACTGTTTGTTTGTTTGTTTGTTTGTTTTTGTTTGTGAGGTTAAAGTTCAACGGGACGACTGTAAACGTTTATGTAACTTCACTTTAGTGTGTGGCTGTTTTAATTTAACTTGTGTGTTGTGTAATGTGAATCACTTAGAGTCACATTTATGTTTAAAAAGCTGCTTAAAGTGTCAGAAGATTATATTTTTTGTCTTGTTTTAAAATTAACTTCTATTTTTTATCTTTTTTT